AGATAGTGTTTTAAGGAAGAAAAACAAAGTCAAAATCTTGTCTATTGTACTGTCTAGCCTAGTTTCAAATTTAGTATTATGAATTGAACATGCTATTAGGTTAATCTCAAGTGCACCGTATTTTTATTTATTTTTCACTCCTACGAACCTTTGGGTTGGGATTTGATTCTTGCTCTATAATCTTTCAGTTAGGTGAATTTGTTCTTTGCCGTGCCCTCTCCAATGGTGCCATCCTATTGTTCAAATTTAATGCTATTACATTTCATTTTGGCTTTCTTAGTTATGGTTTTGGTAGCTGGTATGTCACAGTTTGTCTATTCTTACTTCTCGAAAGAAAAAATATATAAAATTACTTTCTTATTATATACTCAGCCCTTATTTGAGCCCCATTTTGGGGAAAATAATGCATTTTGAATAGTAGATTAATGGAGAATGTGTGATTAAAAATTAAGGAAAAGTTCTGGATTTACGTGTAATATTATTTTATTGAAGAACTTGTGGTTGAAAATGAATTTTAAAAAAATGAATTTTTAAAAGAATGGGGCTCAAACAAGGATTTAGTGTTATAGTTTATCATTTTAGTCGAGGATGTCAAGGGGCTAGGCTGATACGAGCCATCACTAGCCCATGCCCAAGCTTGGCTTGTGTGGGGACCAGTCGAGCACGAGCCAGTTCGGCCAAAAAGTTTTGGGCTTAGCTCACCTCTTGCAGGTTTGTACATGGAATCCATCAAGTGCACCCTTTCTTTTTATCTTCAGATGATATGAAGTTGGGTATTAATTGCTATTTTACACGTGCATGGGGGCTGTTATTTTGTTATATTACGTCTAATAAAAAATCGTATGGAGTATATTGTTAAGACAATCTTGAAGGATTACTTTTTCCTCCTCGGCAAAGAGGGCAGATGGCAAAATAAACATAGAGAAGAATGATATCCACCACTGGGATCGAGACACAACTTTTACTTGTTCAAAAATAATCACGACTTAACTTTATAATCGTGCCATAAGATTTTTCTTGTGCTTAATTAATAGGCAGTCTAGTTTTCCTTTTAATTTTACATTCCTTTGTATATCCAATCTAATAATATTTCACATTCATCTCTTCACTATAGTTTCGTGAGATGACATTTCATTCCAGAGACGGATCCCCCACACTCAGGCCCAAGAGTTTTTTTTTTAAAAGGTATTTTTTTGGTAAAAAACCAGATTTTTATGTGTAAAATTTTTTTTTCGACGTAGTAGCCCGGTTTGAAATTTTGTAACCCGATCTTGAATTATCCGTCCTTCTTTCATTCCCCATGTCCCCTTTAGGAACACTGATGTAGGGTGGCTGATGCATAGAAATAATGAACGAACATGTTATCAAAGTTATTGATTTCAAATGTATACCGTAACACCGCAACATGGTCATCTTTTAATTCTATTGATTCCTAAGAATACAAGAAATTTAGGCATAAAAAACTTCTTGATTAGCTCACAAACACGGAGAATCTCAACTTGTTAATTTTAAACATCAAAATCGAGAATTTAAGAATTTGAAGAGGTTGTCAACAATTAATATTTTACTTCAATTCAATATTGCCAATTCACAATAAGTATGAAAAATCTTCGGTCAATTACCATTACACTTCCTCTTGACCTTTTTTTTTGGATAAGGTAAGTGTATTATATCGAAAATGAAAAGATTAATTACAAAATCAGGGGCATACCCTAGAAAAACTAGGCTAGGAACATATGTCTTCCTAACACCAATAACATAAGCTTAGATAAATGCTCATAACCTAACCACGACAACAGAAAATATCTGCAGAAAAACCCCATGAACGTTGATGCTATATAGCAAGGCTTTACGGGGTTCTGGCTTAATCCCACATCTTCACATCTCGATCAAATGATGAAGTAACCAGCATATTAAGGGAATGATTTTCATGTTTAGCAACACTTATTGGTTCACGATGCATATTGTGAATATTTGTAAATGTTTTCCGCTGCAAATATCATATATGGAAATTTTCTTGGTCAAGGATTTCGCTACATTCTTTAACATAAACTTTAGTTCAAGATTCTTACTTGAAAGAAGGAGAATTCTCAAATTTCATGGTTGAATAACCTTATTCCATGTCTCAAATTATACCTTTAATTACACTCCAATGATATTAACATCAATCACAATGAAATGAGGTTCTTATTCACAATCTAAGTGCCAAATTTTGTGAGTTTTCATGCAAAAATGTGGTTTTTGGCACTTTACAATTGTAGAGTAATTTTTCATACAAATTTTACGCCTTTTCTGCCATTTTTTTTCATCTTATCCAAAACAAGTGATGAAAGTTATCGAGGGAGTTGATGGGGGCTTGAGGAAAGTTACGAGTCTGAGTACAGTTCAAACCATTAATTCCCTCTTTAATGTCTTGATGGTCGGATCATCACACATGGACGATCCAATACCCGCATTTTTCAACATCTTACACTCGCACGTGATGGGCACGAACTATATGTGTAATGAATATTACTTGTTAGTTCCTTCTCACGATATATCTTACAACGACAAATAAATCGTACGACCAACAAGTACATATTGGAGCTCAATGTACTATAAATATATTAGGGATATGCAGTAGCTCTACTATAAGAGCATCACATCTCGCTACGCCCAAACTCATTTTCAACACTAACTCAAATATCTTTGATCCCTCAATACATTTATAGAGCATACTTGAACTCCACACTGTATTTTTGTATACACAATTGTGTTCAAATCCTAAATGATTAACACAATTGCCTGATCAGTGAATTCATAAACAGAAATATTGGTCAAAATGATTTTTTTTTACTACTCAAATCATTCAACTTTAGATCAGTTACTTTCTTAAATATGTCTTATCAAACCAAATCAACCATAGTTATTGATAACATGATAAAGTAGTAATACTGAAATGAAATCTCCAGAAAAAGTTATAAAAGTGTATACTTGTGGTTATATGAACTCAAGGTCTCACATAATGAAAAAGTAAGGATTCGTTCACTCATTTATCCCATATTGATGATCATAAAAAACCTCGTAGTATTAAACACATATTACGATAGTCTCTCTCTTAGAGTTTATGTTATATTCTTTAAACAAGTTTAATGGATAGTAAAATTCATTTTGATTACCTTAGAGTAATATCATCTTGATATTTCATGAGGCAATGAGTTCATGAACAAAACACAATTAGTACATCATCTCAGTACATACTGAAATTGTCTGAGACGATTGCTCATGTGAGTAATTGGAAAATTTTTGAAATGCTTAAAATATAATCAAAATAATTATATAAAGTTGTGTAGCAAATCCCCTCAAACTCTGTACCCAAACACAATATAGCCTATAAGGCAAATGCCAGGCGATTTCAAATTAATGAAACTAAACACATTAACAAATAAAACACATATTATTTATCGGAGTAATTGTGATTCTGCAGCATAGTCATACGTCTCTAGAAGAAGAAGAAGAAGAAGAAGCCAAACACCGACCATCCCACTGCCAAACTTCCCCCCAGTTGCCGGACGTTCATCAACTTCGTTGCTCCATTCTGCAGAAAATTTATAAATTAATCAACAAATTAAAAATCATAAAACCTGAGAAATAAGTTAATAGCCCCACCGGGGCGTTAGTTGACTAAATCTAACTCAACTACGAATTATTTAATAAAATTGATCTTGTGGCCCGCATTGGGTTCCCCACCTTAGATTTTGTTCAGTCTAATAATGTTTCTTGGATCTGCCGTTTTTGTTGGTGCAATGCCATTAATGCACGACAGAGTGCTAGTTGATATCATGCGCCGCTTTTATAGAGAGTGAAGACAATTTGGAGAACAGATTGTTCCTAAGACTACAAATATTGTTGTGTAAGCAATTTTACAGTGTGTGTGCGCACATTATCATGCACGGCGCAGCATAAACACTATACTCTAGTTCATTTTAGAATTAGTAAGTATAAAACTGAAATAGAATTTGATTTTTAAGGTGAAACTAGGATTTTAATGTCAATGCATTTGGAACTGAATGGATTGGTAAGCAACCAGTAAAAGTAGATTAATTAGAAATGTACCGAGTCATCAGCTGATGTAGGACTTGGAGAAATGGGGCTAGGTCCGGGAGATTCAGATGGAGGGGAGGGTCGACCAAGCAGCATCGGAGCTGGAGCCGGAGCTGGTGAAGGTGAATGGTGCTCCATGCTTGGAGCTGGAGCTCTGGCTGGAGTTTGGGTGGGTGCTAAAAAAACCGGAGTCGGTGAAGGTGCATTGTGCTTCGTGCTTGGAGCTGGAGAAGATTCAGTTTGTGGTGATGGGATTGGAGAATGGACTGGAACTGCCGTCGGCGGGAGGACCACTGGCTGGAGAGATGGGGGAAAGCCGATAGGTGCCGGAATTGGAGGTTGAGTAAAAACAGTTGGTGGATGGTTCACTGGCGCGGAGACTGGAGCCACAGTGGAAACAGTTGGTGGATGGCTCACTGGCGTGAAAACTGGAGCCGGAGTGGTAACAATTGGAGGATGGCTCACTGGCGCGGAGACTGGAGTCACAGTGGAAACAGTTGGCGGATGGCTCACTGGCGTGAAGACTGGAGCCGGAGTGGAAAGAGTTGGTGGATGGCTCACTGGCGTGAAAACTGGAGCCAGAGTGGAAGCAATTGGAGGATGGCTCCCTGGCAGGGAGACTGGAGCCACACTGGAAACAGTTGGCGGATGGTACACTGGAGCCGGATTGGAAACAGTGGGCGGCAAGCTTATTGGCGAGGAAAATGGAGCTGCAGTAGAAACTGTCGGCGGCATGATCACCGGCGTGGACAATGGAGCAGAAGAGGAAACTGTCCGTGGCGGTGCGGCAAATGGGGCCTCAACGGAAACGGTTGGCGGCAAGATCACCGGGGCGGAGACCGGAGCCGGTGTGGAAATAGTGTATGGAGAAGTTACTAGTACACTGCATATTAATGCAATCAAAATTCCCATTTGTGAAGAGAGAATAGAATAAAAATGGCGAAATCTAAGTAGAAGGGAGTTGCAGAAAGTAATATATAAATAGAAATTAAAAGCATGAAAAATTAGGTGTATAATTAAAATAGTAAAGAAAGAAAGGTCGACATTTGGTTGGGTCCATGCAATACCCAACAAAAAATGCCACCCTATGTGGCAGTTAACCAGTGATTATGCAGGCCAAGTCACACTCCAGATGCTACACGTAACGTATTTTTCTTACTTGGAATTAATTAATATTTTAAAATTCAAACAATCAAATCGAAATTGATCTACATGATAAATTACATTCTTTTTTTTTTTTTTTCACCTATGCAATTTCTCAATTTTTTACTAGTTATATGATTGGTTTTAAACTAGATTCTCCTGACATCCTTCTTGGTCGTCCATTTTAAGCGTCAAATTAAGGGCGTGTTTGATATAAATTTTATGAAAAGTTATGAATCTATGTGTGAAATTATTTTATTGAAAGAATGTGATAAAAAAGAATTTTTTTAAAAAAAAAATTTTAAAAATATTTACTGGGCCAAACTTAGTACTTTCTTGTTTAAGAATAGTTACCATACCCAAAAAAATTCAATAAAATCATGAGTACAAGAAAATTTGGCTAATTAGCAAAAAAAAATCCCTATCCTTTGCATATATTGCTAAAATAGTCCATATTGTTTCAAATTTGGCATTTCTAGCCTCATTTCAAACCTTTATTGTGAATTTGGTCCTTTCCGTCCCGTTTCGTTAATTTCACCGTTAAATAAGGATTATTCTATATGTACAAAATTAATGACAAACTTGACAAGTGGTGACCCCCTGTTGGTGGAGTGGTGGTGGGGCCAGCCGCCCCACTAACAGGGAGCCGCCACTTGTCAAGTTTGTCAAACTTTTAGTAATTGATTTTGTACTTGTAGACTAATCCGTATAAAAAATTATTTATGTAGTATGGTTTTGTAATTCTTTACCTATTTATTATTTTTTTACGAATATTTATATTTATTTGTTAATATCTAAGAAATAACTGTATCCATAATATACTTGTGAAACTAAGATACACAGTGTAATTACATTTCATATCCAAGTCGAGTATTTTATAATTTTCAATAATTTTACTCATAATATACTTGTGAAAGTAAGACACAGTGTAATTACATTTCATATCCCCGTCGAGTATTTTATAATTTTCTCTAAGGACAATATTTTTGGAGCATTTTAAGAACCGTGTGGATAAATGAGTTGGCTAGCTTTATATGTTTTCTATTAGAGGGCTTATCAGTGTGTACCAGTCAAGTTTCATACCTTTATTATAAAATTTAGTAATTTTAAATCTTTAAATATTTATTCGTATAGTGTGTTTCTTACAAAAATTCCAACCGAGAATTTAATTTTAAATATTTATTCGTATAGTATATTTATTCGTCATGTAATAAAGTACTAGACTCTAGAGTTATGTAACATGTAATGCTTGTATAGTTACTCTACAATTAATTTTATGAAATGATGGTTAAAAATGCACCTAAGGCTACACTAAGGCCCCGTTTGATTGCACGAAATTTTCCATGGAACTTGGAATTCGAATTCCAACTTCCACTTTTGGCCTGTTTGNGGGGGGGGGAGTTCTTGTAGTTTGCATAGAGTTTATACTGTGGCCAACAAAATCCCCAAATCGATTAAACCACACCAAATCTCACTTTTCCGAAATCTTCCAAAGAAAAGAAGCAGCCCTTTGAATCCATTACACTACCACCTTCCCCCTGCTATCCCAAAACCGGCAATTGTAATGTCGACGTCGATAAGTTCTATTTCCTTTCCAATGAATCAATAAACTGCTGCCTACATACCTTATATTGTTTTTTCTTTGTTTAGATTGATACTCATCATTATATGAAGGGATGATGAGTGTTATAGCATCTATTTATAAGAGTAGGGAGAGTCCTTGAAATTCACGAGTCCCGACACCTACTATATTTGTTATAGTTATTTCTCTGCCATCCCGACACCTACTTATTTGTTTCACATTCACGAGTCCTTGAAATTCTGGGATATTGTAATGGTAAAATAGATGTTAAAATAGTGTCAAGAATGCAGCATTTGTGAAGATGGGTGTGTTGCTGGTCTAGATATGACACGGATGTTTCATTAATTATTTTCTGTTTAGCTTAACAGATTTTCATAGTTGAATTGCAATAGTTATTGAAATTTTATAAACATTTATTTTACATTCTTATTTTATAAACAAATTTGTATGTTTATTTACATACTTTTAAATTGAGTGAACATGAAATGTTTATTCACCAGTTTAGTTAAATCAAGCATACTAATATTGTCAAGAAATGAACATGCTGACATTGATAGTTGTGGGAGGTCTGATCCAATCAAAGAAGGATGCTATGTGCCTGATATTGAATACAGAGATGAGCTAAACCAAGAATATTATTGGGATGATAGTTTTTCTTATGCAAATCAAGATATAATTTGGTCACAAGTAGAGGAAACCATGACATATCATGTTGGACGAAATGTAACTACTTCTGATGTCAATAATACAACTGAATCACATGATGGTGTAAATGAAGTACAAAATGAAGAGCAACAAGGAGTAGAACTGGATAATGTACTTGTTGATTCTGACTATGAAACAGATGAACCTGTTGACAATGCTGGAGTTGATCATCCAAAAATGAATGTGGATTTTGGATTTGGTTTTATAAATGAGCAGGAGGCAAGGGATTCAGACACAAACTATAGCGACTCAGATGAATTAAGGAGTTTGGATAGTGATGAAGCAGGAGAAGAAGAAGAAGAAGAAGGCACTTCCCAGAAAAGGATAAGGAGAGAAGTATTCAATCCCAAGATAGATATAGAGGATCCAATATTCAAAGTTGGTAAGTAATGAAACTATAATTATTGCCTTTAGTTTTCTAACTAAATTTTTACACTACTTTTTTTGGATTGACAGGGCAAATATTTGAGTCAAAGAAGGTTTTGAAAAATGCTATTACTGAGCATTCAGTGAGGCATAATAGGGAGATCAAATATTTGAAGAATGATGCTAAGAGGTTGAGAGCTAGTTGTAAACAAATATGCTTATGGATTTTGTATGCAACAAAGTAAGAGGATAAGTTAAGCTTCGAAATTAAGACTTTTAAAGGTGTTCATAGCTGCAGCATGGTGTACAAAAATAGGAGAGTAACTCCAACATACTTGGCACGCAAGTATGCTTCTGATTTCAGGGCTGAACCTAACATGACATTCGGTGGATTTATGGATAAAGTTAAGAAAGCCAATTTAGAGGACATATCTATATGGCAGTTCTATAGGATAAGGGAAAAAGCAATGGAGAAGATAAGAGGGAGTGTTGTAGAGCATTATAGGGAATTGATTGACTATTGTCAGCAATTAAGGTTGACAAATGTTGGGAGTACAATTCAATTGGAAGGGCGTGCGGGAGAATCCAAGAGGCTTTACATATGTTTAGTAGGATTAAAGGAAGGTTTCATTAATGGATGCAGGAGAGTGATTGGGATGGATGGTTGTTTTCTCAAAATAGAACATGGTGGGTAGTTGTTAATTGCAGTTGGGGTTGATGGCAACAACGGAATGTATCCAGCTGCCTATGCAATAGTGGAGACTGAGAATGGAGAAAATTGGAGTTGGTTTTTGACATTGCTGAGAGATGACTTAAGGATTCATAACTCCCATGGATGGACATTCATTTCAGATAAACAGAAAGGGCTTTTAAATGCAATTGGAACACTCTTTGAATATGCAGAGCATAGAACATGCGTTCGTCACTTGTATAATAATTTTAGTGCTACTCATAAGGGTCCAGCTTTAAAAAATTGTTTGTGGGACGCAGCAAGAGCAACAACAATTCCAAAATGGTTAGAACACATGCAAAGGATGCTGGATTTGGACCCAGTAGCATATGGATGGCTTGAGTTAAAACCAGCTTATCAGTGGACTAAATCACACTTCCAAGAAGGGACTAGATGTGACATGTTATTGAACAATCTATGTGAATCTTTCAATAGCACATTACTTAATGCAAGAGAACATCCAATATTGATGATGCTAGAAGAAATTAGGGTGTATTTGATGAAAATGATTGTAATCCGAAGGGAAGCTTGTGAAAAATGGAATGGAGAAATTGAGCCTAGAATTCAAAAGATATTAAACAAAAATGGTGAACTCGTAAGGAGAGAGTATGCGGATTACTCCAACAATGGAAAGTTCCAAGTCAGGCATAACATTGGAACCCTAAATGCAATAGATATCAAAGCAAAAACTTGTTCTTGTCGAGTTTGGCAGTTGACTGGGATCCTTTTTTGCTATGTGATTGCATCCTTAATCTCAAGGGGAATGAAGGTTATTGACTATATAGATGACATATACAAGAAGACGGCCTACATTAGAACATATACACCCTCTATCTTACCCATGACAAGTCCAGATTTATGGCCTAATCCAGGTCTTGATCCCTTGAATCCACCTTTCTACACCAGAAAGATTGAGAGACTAAAGAAGGCTAGACGAAAGGAAGCTAATGAACATGAAGGTATGGGTTCATCAAGTAATGCTAAAGCATCTTCAAGCAATGCTAGGATATCAACAGGAAATGCAAGTAGTGTGGGGTTGAAGATGAAGTGCAAGAAGTGTGGACAAATAGGTCACAACAAGAGAACCTGCAACACTTTGCCACAACCAAATGCTACCTGAGGATGTGGGATGCCTAAAATATTTTTGACTTTTGACTGCTTCAATCATTTTATAGATCTAATTTTTGTCTAATAGCTCAATGCAATATAAATGGCAGACAGTTTGATACAAAAATATTGAGATCATGTTTGGTTGGTTAACAATGTAATTATCTATTGAATATAGTAGGTTAGTTTTTTTTTAATGGTATTTTGTATCTATTTTAGCAGGTTAATATTGAAAACTTGTACTACATAGCTTCTCAATGGTTATTTGTGCTAAATGGTTAAAGGGTTGTGTATGATATTTGCCGACAACGTTTTGAGATGAAGTATAAACTTGTAGATTATGTCAAACCATAAGGATGATATTCACCAAAAACTTTTAGAGGGGAAAAATATATAGTAACTTGACTAATTTACCATTTTCAAAAAACGTGAGTGATTTTCATGCATTTATTTAACGGTAGAATTAACGGAACGTGACGGAAAGGACCATTGTCACAAGAAACGTTTGAAATGAGGGTACAAATGCTAAATTTGAAACGATAGGGACTATTTTAGCAATGAATGCAAAGGATAGGGAAGTTTTTTCTAATTAGCCAAGAAAATTTTAACAGATTTTGTATCGACACTGATGTGGCAAAATATGATTGGACTGTTTCATCTTCCAATAATTTCATGTCATGTGTTGTTCGTAAGGTTTTTCTGTCCAAAAGTTCTATACATGTAGCATTGATAAAAAAAAAATTAGCCAGAATTATAGTCTAATCCACAGGGAAACCAAAGACTGCTAGTGATACAGTCTATCCAAATTTATTAGTTTTAACTTTGGTGAAAGTTAGTATTTGGTGGGATCATATGTAGTCGAAGAAAGCCAAAAGTGAATGGAACACAAAGATGCATGATGGTTATTTTTTCAGACAAGGTAGAGAAGTTTATAGAGATATTCATGGATGATTTCTGCCACTTCATGGTGTAGGAAGGGATTGTACTTGGGCATCGGGTCTAAGCAAAAGGAATTGAAGTGGATAAAGTAAAAATCCAGGTTATTGCGAAGCTACCGCCACCAACATCATTTAAAGGGGTTCGCAGTTTCTTGAAACATCTTGGGTTCTACAGGGGATTTATTGAGGATTTTTCAAAAATCACCAAGCATTTATGCAACCTGTTGATGAAAGACATGCCATTTGAATTTAATGAGGAATGCCTGATAGCTTTGAACAGTTTGAAGGAGAAACTCACGTTAGCACCGATAATTGTAGCACTTGATTGTGAATTACCTTTTGAACATCATGTCGTGGGTGCAATATTGGAACAACGAAGAAACAAGATTTTTCATGTGATTTACTATGCAAGTAGAACTTTGAATGATGCCCAGATCAACTATGCAACTACTGAAAAAGGAGCTCTTGGCCTTGGTTTATGCCTTTGACAAATTTAGGTTATATCTCCTGGGGTCTAAGGTCATAGTCTACACAGATCACGCTGCATTAAAATATCTTATGACAAAGAAGGATGCTAAGCCGAGATTAATCCGTTATGTGTTACTACTGCAAGAATTTGACATTGAAATCAAGGACAAAAAGGGCAATGAAAACGTAGTGGCAGATCACCTATCTCGATTGGAGCGCAGAGAGACAGATGAATCAGTGGATATCAATGAGATTTTCCTAGACGAGCAGTTGTTGAGTGTAGAAGAAGCGCCTTGATATGCTGATGTTGTCAACTATTTAGCTAAGTCTATTCCACCGCCAGATTACTCAAGTCACTAGATGAAAAAGTTCTTTACCAAACTAAAATACTATTTTTGGGAAGATCTCATTCTCTATAGGCGAGAGACCAATCAAATTGTGAAAAGGTGCATACCTGAAAATGAAGTACCCGATATTCTAGAGCATTGTCATTCATCTGCCTATACGGGACACTTTGGAACTTCAAAGACTGCTACAAAGATTTTACAGTCAAGGTTTTATTGGCCTACATTATTCAGAGACGCCTTTGAGTATGTCAAGAGGTGTGATAGATGTCAACGCATTGGGAATATCTCAAGAAGGAACAAGATGCCACTTAACAACATATTGGAAGTTGAGATATTTGGTGTCTGGGGAATCGACTTTACGGGACCTTTTTCCCCATCATTCTCAAATCAGTACATCCCGGTGGCAGTTAACTATGTGTCAAAATGGTGGAAATAGTTGTATTGCCAGCAAACGATGCAAAGGTGGTGATTGGGTTCTTGAAAAAATACATCTTCACCAAATATGGCACACCGCGGGCAATAATCAGTGACAGGGTCAAACATTTCTGCAATCGTCAATTTGAGCAATTATTGAGTATGGGGTCAAACACCGTGTAACAACCCCATATCATCCACAGACCAGCGGGCAAGTTGAAGTGTCTAATCAACAGTTGAAGAGAAAACTTGAGGTTACAGTGAATTCTTCCCAAAATGACTGGTCGAAAATATTGGATGACGCATTGTGAGCTTATTGGACAGCATTCAAGAAACCGATAGGTATGTCTCCATACAGCCTAGTTTTTGAAAAAGCGTGCCACCTGCCACTCGAGATAGAATACCGGACATACTGGGCTATGAAATAGTTGAATATGGATTAGCGGGCCGCTGGTGAAAAGCTTTTACTGCAACTTAATGAGTTAGATGAATTTAGGATAGAAGCATATGAAAACTCAAGACTCTACAAAGAACGAACCAAGAAGTGACATGACCTGCATATTCAGATGCGAGAGTTCGAAGTGGGGCAAAAAGTTTGGTTGTATAACAGATCAAATTGAAAACAAGGACATAATCTTCTCTGTTATACTTCTATAATATTCTTTTAAAATCCCATAATAACATTAAATCCAGCAAAATTGAACTTACTGGACCCTAGGTTCCCATTATAAAGCAGCAATAATCAAAATAATACCAGCAGAAGCATAATCTATGGTTGGTCTGAAGTTGTTTGAGATGGTAATAGAGGGAATGCTTTATTCGCACAGAGTACTGCTGGACGCATGGACATAGCCAAGCATGTAAAGAATTCGTCATCCAAATTGATCGCACAGCCCAATCCAAGGGACATGATTTTTTAATCTAATGAAATATCAAGGTGGCATACATGCAAAGTAACTGCTATAAACTTCTCGGCAACACAATATAACCTACTAAGCAGGAAACAGTCACTGTAGAGAAGAAAGCAGTTACCAAAGATGTCATTTTACATTCATCGGCCCATACATTTCAAAAATTCTGATTTTCATTTGCACCTTCCTTTGACAGGCCATGTTTATCACCGTTTTGTCAGTTGTGATTCGCGTTGAGTTGAGGCAACAAATTACAAAATCCTGATTATCTTTTCTATCTAATGAATGGGGAATCTACTTTAAAATCGTCCGCCCTTCACCACCAAGTGTATGCTTCAACAGGAATTACACAAGAATAAATTAGAAATCTCTGGAACAAATACTTTTCATTTCCTAACTCATGGAAAACCCTTTTAGCTCCACTTAGCCTTATCCCCCTCTAGGGGGAATTTTGGTGATAAGTTCTATAGGAACTGGACAATCACATTTGATCAAATTCCTAGAGACAAACTCCTATGTTCCTTTCATTACGGTATTTCTAAACAAGTTCCTAGATACCAAACCAAAGGTTTGATTATTGATGATATCAATATTGATTACAATGACGATATTGATGACTTTGATTCCTTATAGTAAGCCAAGTTGGCATGTTTTTGTATGAAAAGGAGTCAATTACCTATTTCAACCAATTCCACCACCATCCATCCGAAAAGACATAATTCAAATCATAGTAATAGACAAAACACAATAAAGATTCAATATTTCAAACTTCAAGTAGTAGCAAGTACGTAACTATTGATTGTACTCACAAGCAGTAAAAAGTATTGAAAAAACGTCAATAGTAGATAGAGAACTAGAGCAGAAAATTAGAGAATCAAACTCAAATATTCTAAATAACTTGTATCAATTGAATTAACAATATTCAGAAAATAAAAGTATGTCAAACAAGATAAAAACTCTTATTTAAATAGAGATGAATCATTTCAGGTGCCTGAACGGGAAATTTTTTAGACAGAAAAGCTATTCCATTTCTGTTGCTCTTGCTGCAATTTCTTCGAACAATTTGACTGGATTCATGAACAATCTAACAATCCCACAACCATAAAAAATCAGTACACCTTCCAACGCAAATTGGCTGGAATGAACCCGATAAATAACAGAAATAGCTCAATAGAACAAATTGCCAAGCATGGGCGTATGCCTAAAATAATTTCAACACAAAATCCTATAACATAATCAGCGTTCTCTACAGTCGAACAACAAAAGTAAGATGTGCAGAGACTCAAGCTCTAAACAGTGAGATGATAGAAACTTAAATTCATTCTAACTGAAAAGTATATTATCTTGAAAACTTTATTCTCAATATCAATTGAAAACATCCAATAGCAAAAGACAAAACTACATCAATTTCACAATTTTATTCATGACTAGAAATACTTCATAATGAGAAATTCTCCTGATCTTCATACCTAGAAAAATTTCCTAACGTTTCCCCGGTGTCTCTCATTTCTTCTTCGTACCCTTCTTCTGCTGAACTTCTCTCTCTCTCTTCTTGCTTGACGACGAGGGCAAAGTTCTCCCAATTTATGGCCCACCATCTGCTCCGATATACGAAAAGGCACGTGTTTCTTACCATTGTAAACAGCAATCCTGTGGCCTACCATTTCAGGAATAATAGTAGAACCCCGAGACCAAGTTTTTATCAATTCCTTCTCCGCTTTTTGGTTAAGCTGCGAAATTTTTTTCACCAAGTGATTAGCAACGAAAGGAATCCTCCAAGTTCCGCCGCCACGGAGATGGAGGACAAGGTGCAACGTAGACTCCTTTTGAATGTTGTAGTCGGCTAGGTTTCCACCATCCTCCAACTGTTTTCCTGCGAAAATAAGCCGTTGCTGGGCCGACGGGATGCCTTCCTTGCATTGGATCTTGGCCTTGACATTATCAATTGTGTCGGAACTCTCAACCTCAAGAGTAATCGTCTTGCCAGTTAAAGTTTTCACAAAGATCTGCATAGTTTTTCCAGAAATGCAATCTGTAAAGGAGCAAAATGGGGGCTTTTACAGGTGGGGTTAATTTTAATTTCATTCTTCTCTTTTTCTTTTATTATTATTTTTGCAAAAAGCAATAGATTTCTATGAATTCTCAAGAATGAAAATAGTTTATCCTTGCATTTCTCCCGTATTTACTATTATTTGTCTTAATGTATACATTATCTCGATTGTGAGTTTGACCTTTCTATCAAAACAATTAACATGTTATTTGCAATGGTATGAATAATCTTCTCTAAGAGGGCATAAAACATCAAGTTAAATTTTATAATTGTTTTTTTTATTCCAAGTTAAACTTTATAATTTGAGTGATTCCATTCTTATAATATTTGATTAACATCAAAATGTGTTTCTAAAGTTAAATGTTGACATTATTAATAAAGTGATATCGATTAAATGTTGAATTATTATATTATCATAACCATGGAATTAAAATCGAGGGTATTGGGGTATATTGTCAAAGATGGACCTGTTCCACATGCTCTGGTTTTGATATACCAAAACCAACTGCTCCTGGTTTGTTTGTTGCCTGTCAAAATGATATTCAAGTTGACAAAAAGTTTTCATTATATTTTTCCTTTTTGAAGTGAAAAAAAAGGCTATATGATTGACAACAAAAGAAAAGGTGAAATGCAAAATAAAAGATGGGTTACTGAGAAAATTTGTAGTATAAGAAGAATACTCAAGAATTTGTTGGGAGCTTAACTGATTGACAATTGACATAAATACTTACCTCTTTAATTTCATGGAGAGATTGGACCTTATCATTGATAGATGCACGAGCTCCAAATACAGGAGAGAATTAAGCACGTGAAAAAATGTGCCAACTAAAAGTCACAAGTGTGCCCATGTAAACAGTTCAAATACTGAACTAACATAACTCCAGCTGAGCTCACCTACATAACAATAAATAGAGAACTTCAACTAGCAGAAGTTAATAGTAAAGTAAATTTAGAACTCATTAAGAAAATTGGAAGTGCATTTTCCTCTTATTCGTGTGAGGATACATGAATAACATTTCAACTTCTAAGGGCACAAGTATATGGTGTTTGATATGACTCGAGGCACATGTATGGTGCCTCATATAGAGGCATCATCATTAATACAGTTTCAAACAAACTATTAACAGAAGCAAGAAAATTCAAGCGGAAGTTGATATATGACCCATAAAATGACGGGAAAGAGGATGATAAGCTCTGCAAAAATCAAGACATTGTAATCTTAAAATGACATTCCGGAAGACTCTCAAGTTTTCTCCCATAAAAGAATCAAGCGTCAACACATACCTAAACTAAGAAAAGGAAAATAGGCAACTCACAAGGTAGATGAATCCTTCTGAAGCTTCAACGATGGCTTTCATTTGCTGTATAGGAGTGGTGGGTTTTGTGAGCAGCACCTGATGTAACAGGAGAGAATTAAGCACGTGAAAAAATGTGCCAACTAAAAGTCACAAGTGTGCCCATGTAAACAGTTCAAATACTGAACTAATTATTGTACTCGTTGAGAGATATCTTGTTTCCCGAGAAATACGTGTTTATCCAAGAAAGGACAAACGTATAGAGGTCCCAAAATTTTTTGTACTTCCTTCTAACACCAATTTTTCAATAACTTATCAGCCCTCAATCCTGATTAAACACCATATATATATAAAAATAATCAAATATTAAACACCATATTTCAAATAAGATAATCCATAGATCATTATAGTATTCAGCCCCATCCAATGTGATTAGATATTTTTCATTCTGTTGGTTTGTTCAGTATACTACTAGATAGGGGAAAAACTGCCCTTCCCCAAATCACTTCTCCAGAAGACTTGAATCTACAATTATTTAAAACTGATTGATACAGCTACTAGGCAAACCTTTGTCTCATTCAAAGCGATTACTCCAAAAGCAAAAAAAACACTTCATTATCTAAGACGGACTAAGAACTGCAATTGCACAAATTACAAATTACAATTTTCAGATTGTGTGTGTTTGATAAATAAAACTGAGAAAAATACTTGACATATAGAAGGTCATGATATTAAGACTATCACACACCTTAAATCGTCCTAAATAAGTGATCTGTCCCAATGGCAACCACCTTAATAAAAAATCAGGTTACCAGTTTAAGCCAGATGACTAGCCATTTGCAAGCATGTACGTGACTCCATATTAAGGTTTAAAATATGCAACTTTACAAAGCTCAGACAAAGAGCAAAATTATTAAGTTTGAAAACCAACCAATTCCACGTTGTTATTAGCAGCTTCTTTTCTCAATATCCCTGTCTCCTCCGAAGGGACATGTGGCACAACAAGACCTGAACAGATGAATGTTTGAGGTGAGCTTATGAAGAATGTGAGTTAACATAGTTGCCAAATAACGGAAAGCTTATCATAATATAGTGAAAAAAAACAAAGAAACTGCAGTCAGCAAAGTATAACATATTACCATTTATCCCTGCATCTTTCAAAGTTGTCATCAGTTTTTCCGCTCCACGCTTTAGTATTGGGTTATAATATGAGAATAGTGCAATTGGACAAGATTATTGAGGCACCACCTGTGGGGGCAAAAATAGAAGGCAACTTTAAGAAACTACAAATCTATGACAGCATAATTATACAGTAAGGTCATCGATGGACAAAGTTATTGAGAGAACGTTCTGTGAAAAAAGTATGACAAAAAAATAAATAAATAAATAAATAAATACATAAATAATTTGTATCATTGTCCAGATAATCTATAGTAAATTAATTTAAATAATTAGACCAAGTGGTCTACCTCACCCCAGTTACCAAAGTCATGGGTTAGTCGAAAGTGTAACATAAAGATATAATCATATATTCATGCGGGAAACATGTTACATGAATATGATGTGCTGCCTAGCTATATCATGACGCCCAGAGGTAATTAGGTTAAATGTATGGCATGCTATATACATCTATTGAGATGGTATCGAGTAAACCAAAACTGTCACATTACCTCCAGTCTGTTTTATTTGTAACACAATTTAAAAATTGCACTTGTGTCCTTAAACGTTGCAATAATTTTATCGAGGTTAGTCCCTCTAGCTAGGGAACGTGAAGCTGCAGCCTGTGTAAACAAAACAATTTCAGAAAAATTTGGAATTCGAAACTACAACACAATAAGCAGATAAAACCACATATTTGAACCTGGATAACCGGACTGTTAGCCAATGGGTCTGAATAGGGAACACCTAATTCTATAATGTCTGAGCCACATGAATCAAGGACCTTCAGCGCTTGAGCTGTGGTTGAAAGGTCAGGATCACCAGCTGTGATATACGAAGCAAAAACAAGCTAATTAATATACATAGTGAACTTCAAAAAATAGTATTGAAAATTTTATAATTCCATGACGCAACAGCATGCAAATCAATATAAATGTCACCTTGCTCTAAAATATGGATAAGTTGTCTTTTATGCCCTCTAAAATTCCACAGTCCCAAGCTATTATAGACCTACTGATCAAAAGTTGACTCCTTAAAAGCAGAAACCAAGACCCTCTCTTATTTATTTTACTAAAAATAGGCAATCAAATTAGCAAAAAGAAAGGCATGGCAGAAGCATCTCTCCCACTTTATGTCAGTTCTATCTTTCATTTATATTAAAAATCTTTTCCCTTGCAATGAAAATTATTCAGCGTCAGAGTTACGAAGAATCTGAGCCTTCTCTAGTTTTTCGTTTCCCTTTTTTTCCACAAAATGATAAAGGGAACTGATTGTCATCAATGTATGATTTCCTTTATAACATATTCTACTAGGAAAAAAAAACTCCTAAATATGCATCCATCTTCGATCAAAATGGTCGCTAATAATCCTCCAAATTATCTCACACTAACCCCAATTTTTTTATATAAAAAATATTAGGAATCCAATCCAGCTAAACAAAAAAAAGAGTCTAGGACGAAGAACAAAACAAGAGCAGTAAACAACAAAAAAGAAAAAGAAAATATGAAAGGAATGCTGCTTACGTTGCCTTGTTGTTTCAATTTGGAGAATGTCTCGGGGAATCCGACGATGCGAACAGTGGAGAGAGTGGCAGTGGGAGCCTTGAATCTGAAAGGCTTGATTCTTGGAAGTGTGAATGGCCACCCCCGCCGCCAGGTTTACTCTGAAGGAAAAACGTTCTCTTTAGAGTGACGATTATACCTCAGGAATTATCTGTGGGTTCAAGAAGGGTTTCGCTTTTTAAGTTGAGTTTGGTCAAATCCTAATTTTCACTTCGAATTTTTAACCATCGCATATTTTCACGACAACCCTGCTCCTGTCCCGGCTTTCCGTGACAGGGGCGCCTGCTCGTCCAATAGGGGTGCCACATCTTCAATCATGTTCTTAAGTCGGGATAGGGGACTTTATTCTTTTCACGATGACCTAAGTGGTAAAAGACAAAAATATTCTTAAATAAATAATATAATTAAAAAATATTGTTTTGTTCAAAAAGCAATACTATCATTTTAGTTAACAAGCAAAATCCAGATACTTCACACTTAAAATTTCAAAACCAACTAATTGTTTTCATCTATTTATTCCAATACAAATAAAAAAATCTCTCATTTTTCATCTGCTTCAATCTCAGAAATTTATCAAATGTTGAATAAGATTTTTTTTTTTTTATATATCTATCATTTCAAATAGATAAGTATATTTACGTATGTTTAATTTCGTTTTCACTAAATTAATATACGTTTTTAATCAATAAATCTTATGAAAGTATTTCTTTTGTGCTTCAAAATTAGTGCTTTTATATTATGAAGGAATTATGGTCAAAAAGCAAATTGATAGTATAATGAAGGCAAAATTATGGCGGTCCAAAGTCAAAAGTACGACTTATCTGGACATGAGAAGTCTTGAGATCTATTGACCACGTTGAAGGTACATTTTTGAGTTCAACACCACTCATACTAGTTAGCATTATTCCAAAAATGTACGATCGCCTCAACTTGATTAATCAAGCATAAGATGATGTCGACTTGTGGATTCGAGTCAACACGAATTTTGCCTTTTGTGATCCAGTGCTATTTGTATATAGTACCGCTAACCAATGGGAGTGGGACCAAGGAACAGTACAAGTCCGTTAAGCGTGAATCAACCTTTTAGCAAATTAATAAGGACAGACTTCTCCCGGTGTTCCCGCACCTCCTTCCACCGGCAACGCGTGCTAAATAAATAAACATATTTTATATTTTAATATTATTGTAGTTTTATTTTTCAGAGAGAAAATAATGATTATTGAATGTGTTACTAGAAAACACAGTTTTTGAGTTTAAATACTACGACTATATGTTTCAGATCTGATCTCCTGCCCACAATGGATAAAATAAAAACTTTTTATTGCCTACGCGGCAAGATAACCTTACTTTCGATTCTTTGCAATAGTCATACAAACCGAAAAACATATTTAAGGTTTTCTCTGTCATATCAACAATGAGAAATTTTTATCCTGTCCACTAGAGACAGTATATCGCTTCTACTATTTGTTTATGAAAAAAGAAAGAGATGCATCAGAGGGCATTATTTTACAAAGAATAACCTAGCTCAAAACTTCTTTTTGTGACCTCTCTTTCTTATATATCAATAGGGTGTGCTAGCCTGACTAGCATATTTCCATTATATTATATTCGTCTTTCAAAGAATCTTCAAATTTTGTACACATTTGTACAACCATGACTCTTTGGAGTCTTATTGTGTGTTCGAGGCTTCAAGCTCCGTAAGACATTACTCACTTGATTCATCCTTGGTCAAATAGTCGATTCTTGCTCTATTGTCAACTTGATTGGGTAGGTTGCTTACCTCTACACTTGGGCTCTCAATCAAAAGTTTTTGTGAACTAGAAAGTCACCTTTCGTAATCCATTCACATCAACTGTTTAAATCATGTTTTCATATCTAACCCGACATACTTGGTGGTTCTTCTAGGTGTTTATAAGTTGTGCATCTTACGGAATGTATAAATAATAAGTTGTGAATCTTACCAAATGTTTGAATAAAAATTATTTTACCATCTTTGAAAAGTTAAGTTTTGCCAAACATGTACCTACATAATACCATGCATTTTTATTGGTAAAATCCGCTATTATCATGCTTAGATAGCATGTACAAGATGATTAGATATTATTAAATAAGTGATCTGTCCCAATGGCAACCACCTTAATAAAAAATCAGGTTACCAGTTTAAGCCAGATGACTAGCCATTTGCAAGCATGTACGTGACTCCATATTAAGGTTTAAAATATGCAACTTTACAAAGCTCAGACAAAGAGCAAAATTATTAAGTTTGAAAACCAACCAATTCCACGTTGTTATTAGCAGCTTCTTTTCTCAATATCCCTGTCTCCTCCGAAGGGACATGTGGCACAACAAGACCTGAACAGATGAATGTTTGAGGTGAGCTTATGAAGAATGTGAGTTAACATAGTTGCCAAATAACGGAAAGCTTATCATAATATAGTGAAAAAAAACAAAGAAACTGCAGTCAGCAAAGTATAACATATTACCATTTATCCCTGCATCTTTCAAAGTTGTCATGAGTTTTTCCGCTCCACGCTTTAGTATTGGGTTATAATATGAGAATAGTGCAATTGGACAAGATTATTGAGGCACCACCTGTGGGGGCAAAAATAGAAGGTAACTTTAAGAAACTACAAATCTATGACAGCATAATTATACAGTAAGGTCATCGATGGACAAAGTTATTGAGAGAACGTTCTGTGAAAAAAGTATGACAAAAAATAAATAAATACATAAATAAGTTTTATCATTGTCCAGATAATCTATAGTAAATTAATTTAAATAATTAGACCAAGTGGTCTACCTCACCCCAGTTACCAAAGTCATGGGTTAGTCGAAAATGTAACATAAAGATATAATCATATATTCATGCGGGAAACATGTTACATGAATATGATGTGTGTCATGAGTTTTTCCGCTCCACGCTTTAGTATTGGGTTATAATATGAGAATAGTGCAATTGGACAAGATTATTGAGGCACCACCTGTGGGGGGCAAAAATAGAAGGTAACTTTAAGAAACTACAAATCTATGACAGCATAATTATACAGTAAGGTCATCGATGGACAAAGTTATTGAGAGAACGTTCTGTGAAAAAAGTATGACAAAAAATAAATAAATACATAAATAAGTTGTATCATTGTCCAGATAATCTATAGTAAATTAATTTAAATAATTAGACCAAGTGGTCTACCTCACCCCAGTTACCAAAGTCAGGGGTTAGTCGAAAATGTAACATAAAGATATAATCATATATTCATGCGGGAAACATGTTACATGAATATGATGTGCTGCCTAGCTATATCATGACGCCCAGAGGTAATTAGGTTAAATGTATGGCATGCTATATACATCTATTGAGATGGTATCGAGGTAAACCAAAACTGTCACATTACCTCCAGTCCGTTTTATTTGTAACACAATTTAAAAATTGCACTTGTGTCCTTAAACATTGCAATAATTTTATCGAAGTTAGTCCCTCTAGCTAGGGAACGTGTAGCTGCAGCCTGTGTAAACAAAATAATTTCAGAAAAATTTGGAATTCGAAACTACAACACAGTAAGCGAATAACCACATATTCGAACATGGATAACCGGACCGTCAGCCAATGTGTCTCAATAGGGAACCCCTAATTCTATAATGTCTGAGCCACATGAATCAAGGACCTTTAGCACTTGAGCTAAGGTTGAAAGGTCAGGATCACCAGCTGTGATATACGGGATGAAAGCCACCTTTCAAAGCAAAAACAAGCTAATTAATTTACATAGTGAACTTCAAAAAATAGTATTGAAAATCTTATAATTCCATGACACAAAAGCATGCAAATCAATATAAATGTCACCTTGCCCTAAAATATGGATAAGTTATCTTTTATGCCCTCTAAAATTCCACAGTCCCAAGCTATTATAGAACTACTGATCAAAAGTTGACTCCTTAAAAGCAGAAACCAAGACCCTCTCTTATTTATTTTACTAAAAATAGGCAATCAAATTAGCAAAAAGAAAGGCATGGCAGAAGCATCTCCCCCACTTTATGTCAGTTCTATCTTTCATTTATATTAAAAATCTTTTCCCTTGCAATGAAAATTATTCAGCGTCAGAGTTACGAAGAATTTGAGCCTTCTCTAGTTTTTCGTTTCCCTTTTTTTCCACAAAATGATAAAGGGAACTGATTGTCATCAATGTATGATTTCCTTTATAACATATTCTACTAGGAAAAAAAACTACTAAACATGCATCCATCTTCGATCAAAATGGTCGCTAATAATCCTCCAAATTATCTCACACTAACCCCAATTTTTTTATATAAAAAATACTAGGAATCCAATCCAGCTAAACAAAAAAAAGAGTCTAGGACGAAGAACAAAACAAGAGCAGTAAACAACAAAAAAAGAAAAAGAAAAAGAAAATATAAAAGGAATGCTGCTTACGTTGCCTTGTTGTTTCAATTTGGAGAATGTCTCGGAGAATCCGACGATGGGAACAGTGGAGAGAGTGGCCGTGGGAGCCTTGAATCTGAAAGGCTTGATTCTTGGAAGTGTGAATGGCCGCCGCCAGGTTTACTCTGAAGGAAAAACGTTCTCTTTAGAGTGACGATTATACCTCAGGAATTATCTGTGGGTTCAAGAAGGGTTTCACATTTTTAAGTTAAGTTTGGTCAAATCCTAATTTTCACTTCGAATTTTTAACCATTGCATATTTTCACGACAACTCTGCTCCTGTGCCGGCTTGGGGACAGGGGCGCTTGCTCGTCCAATAGGGGTGCCACATCTTCAATCATGTTCCTAAGTCGGGATAGGAGACTTTATTCTTTTCACGATGATCTAAGTGGTAAAAGACAAAAATATCCTTAAATAAATAATATAATTATAAAATATTGTTTTGTTCAAAAGGCAATACTATCATTTTAGTTAACTAGCAAAATCCAGATACTTCACACTTAAAATTTCAAAACCAACTAACTGTTTTCATCTGTTTATTCCAATACAAATAAAAAATCTCTAATTTTTCATCTGCTTCGATCTCAGAAATTTATCAAATGTTGAATAAGAATTTTTTTCTTTTTTTTTATATATCTATCATTTCAAATAGATAAATATATTTACGTATGTTTAATTTCGTTTTCACTAAATTAATAGACGTTTTTAATCAATAAATCTTATGAAAGTATTTCGTTTGTGCTTCAAAATTAGTGCTTTTATATTATGAAGGAATTATGGTCAAAAAGCAAATTGATAGTATAATGAAGGCAAAATTATGGCGGTCCAAAGTCAAAAGTACGACTTATCTTGAGAAGTCTTGAGATCTATTAACCACGTTGAAGGTATATTTTTGAGTTCAACACCACTCATATTAGTTAGCATTATTCCAAAAATGCACGATCGCCTTGACTTGATTAATCAAGCATAAGATGATGTCGACTTGTGGATTCGAGTCAACACGAATTTTGCCTTTTGTGATCCAGTGCTATTTGTATATAGTACCGCTAACCAATGGGAGTGGGACCAAGGAACAGTACAAGTCCGTTAAGCGTGAATCAACCTTTTAGCAAATTAATAAGGACAGACTTCTCCCGGTGTTCCCGCACCTCCTTCCACCGGCAACGCGTGCTAAATAAATAAACATATTTTATATTTTAATATTATTGTAGTTTTATTTTTCAGAGAGAAAATAATGATTATTGAATGTGTTACTAGAAAACACAGTTTTTGAGTTTAAATACTACGATTATATGTTTCAGATCTGATCTCCTGCCCACAATGGATAAAATAAAAACTTTTTATTGCCTACGCGGCAAGATAAACTTACTTTCGGTTCTTTGCAATAGTCATACAAACCGAAAAACATATTTAAGGTTTTCTCTGCCATATCAACAATGAGAAATTTTTATCCTGTCCACTAGAGACAGTATATCGCTTCTACTATTTGTTTATGAAAAAAGAAAGAGATGCATCAGAGGGCATTATTTTACAAAGAATAACCTAGCTCAAAACTTCTTTTTGTGACCTCTCTTTCTTATATATCAATAGGGTGTGCTAGCCCGACTAGCATATTTCCATTATATTATATTCGTCTTTCAAAGAATCTTCAAATTTTGTACACATTTGTACAACCATGACTCTTTGGAGTCTTATTGTGTGTTCGAGGCTTCAAGCTCCGTAAGACATTACTCACTTGATTCATCCTTGGTCAAATAGTCGATTCTTGCTCTATTGTCAACTTGATTGGGTAGGTTGCTTACCTCTACACTTGGGCTCTCAATCAAAACTTCTCCCAAGTTTTTGTGAACTAGAAAGTCACCTTTCGTAATCCATTCACATCAACTGTTTAAATCATGTTTTCATATCTAACCCGACATACTTGGTGGTTCTTCTAGGTGTTTATAAGTTGTGCATCTTACGGAATGTATAAATAATAAGTTGTGAATCTTACCAAATGTTTGAATAAAAATTATTTTACCATCTTTGAAAAGTTAAGTTTTGCCAAACATGTACCTACATAATACCATGCATTTTTATTGGTAAAATCCGCTATTATCATGCTTAGATAGCATGTACAAGATGATTAGATATTATTTTACAATATTAAGAAGAAGAAGTTGAAGAATCTTATTTTTTATATAATTTCGTCTTGTCTAATATTACATATTAAACATACATTTTAGAAACACACTCTACTATTAAGCACGTGTCTTATCTGCTTATAAATATAATAACTCGCTACTTATAAATTAAAGTAAAAAATTTTGAATTTCACGCGACAATTACGCCTCTCATTTAATTTGTTTAAAACAACTTTTAAGCATGATCAATATTTGTTATTCCGTGATGAGTCACGTAATGTTTAGTTTATTTCGAGGAGCCCACTTATATACGGTCAAGATCCAATTATGGGAGGGCCGGGTGATGCCATCTTCGTGTCTGTGTACCTACAGACCCCAAACAATTACTTTGATTTCTGTGTGTAAAATAGATTTTTAAATTCTAGCTGCATTTATATATTTCCGAACATAAAAGCACAAGTTAGGGAAGATATTGAGAATTGGCAATTTATTCTTCCAGAACTCATGAGAGTCTCTGAGGTAAGCAAATTCATTTACTCTTTAAACATGGTGACAGATTAGTTCAAGAAAATGGAAATATTTTTAGGAGTGGGATACAATTGAATTTCTTACGCTAATATGATAGGAATTCAAATCCCGACTCTACATGCTGCACAACTTCTACCTTTTTTGAGATCGCCTCTTCGTCATCAGCCAAGATAGTGATTAGTGATCCTACTGAATGAAATCGATGTCTTCCCAATAAGAAAGTGAACGATGCCTTGATATAAATTATAGGAAGGTTTAATTGTAAGGGGCGAAAAAGAAGGATACTTCATCAAAAGTAGGTGCATTCTAACAATCATGGGCTTATTGGCTTGATATTTTCTTTGTATGTTACTTTTTTTCTGATAATAAATTTACAATTTTTCTGCATATACAGATAGAGCATACAAGAGAGGAAATATATAATTTATGGTAATTTAAGTTTAAATGGAGAAGCTTCTTCATCCATACCACAAGGAATACACGAAGATGGCTATGTTAAAGCACGAGGAAACATTTCGAGAACAGTTAGATAAAATTCCAATTTCCCTTTGTGCATTCTGTGAATTATTGTAGAATGTCCCTAATCTTGAATTTCTATATATATTTTTAGGTTTTCAAGCTTCATCGTCTTTATCGAATCCAGAAGATACTCAAGAAGGATATCGTCAAAAATATGCGAGAAGGGCAGGATTATGAGATTCTTTCTATTAATCAGATTAATGAAATCGAAGATGAGAGCGAACTTGAGCTGACATTAGGCCTGAAAATTTATAATGGAAGGAGAAAGGCTGGTGCAGGGACGGATCCAGGAATTTTTGGCGCAAGGGCTAAAATTTAAAAGTGGATACAATATCAGCCTCAGCGGCATGTTTCTCCACATCTGTACTAAAGAAGAGGTTATTGCCCCTACACTGCTTCACAACATCCTCAAGGCCTGGCTCATAAAGGGGGAGCTGATTGCTATTCCAGGCACTGATACGAGGAATAGAAATGTCAACGATGCCTACTTCAATTTTAGGGCATTTAAGTGCTATGATGGGGCCTCCAACATAACCAGCGCCAATACTTTACAAGACATGTATTGATCTCTAAAGTCACTTCATATTTTAACCAGCAGAAATTCAGATAAGCAATAGAATCAGGGAGCTCTTTTAGATCTAAACCAATCACATAGTTAAACAATAATTACAATGTCACGGTTGGAACTCTCGTTTCTGCTTCGCCGAAACCGTGACTCGATCAATGTTTCAATCCCAGCTGAAATCAGCCGAAATACCCCAACAAAGAAAAGATAAAAGAGAAGGGGGAGGGATTAAACGATGTAAAATAAGAATAAGAGGAAGAAAACTGAATTGAATTGCTTCAATTAACACTCAATTTGGCATAAAATCACATTACACATGCTGGATAAATACACACATTCGAAGTCGTGTTTTCACAAAATGAACAGTAAAAGAACGATTATAACTTAACTAAAGAGTAGAAACTAGAAATCATATATGAAAACTTCAAATCCCAAAAAAAAGCGTGTAACAAAAATTAAATGAACAGTGAAAATTTTAATAAACTTCTTGCCTTCTCCAATGTTTAATCAGTTTGATGGTTCCAAAGTCAAACTTCTAAAAAGCATTAACAACTAACAACCCACCGGCCCACTACAAAGAAAAATCCAAGTCTGAAATTCTAAAATCCCAAGAAAATCACTTGATTCACCTGACGAGTCAAGCCTCACGGTCACGAACTCACGACGTCGACGGTGACTCGTGGTTGTGGTCCTTGTGGAGGAGATTGGGAAGGAAGTGAGGAATCGTGACCGTCGAACCGACTCAATGCGAGGAAGGGGAGATTTTTATAAATGGCCTACTACTATTCATTTTTGGTAAAATGTCTATAATACCCTTAATGAAATAATTTATCATATATTGCACAAGATATCCTTAATTTATTGGGATAGTCTTAAATTTCTCTATTTCTCTCATTTCGAGTTTTAATATATAATTTCATCCTTTGATCTAGTAAATTAGCATAATCTGTAATATAATTATCATGCAATTTACTAAGATTATCAAATTCCGAGGAAGCCAATGGGCTATGGATAATATCAATATGGATTAGAATTTAGGGAAAATTGCAGTCGAAGTACCAAATCTTTCGTTTATTAGCAGACTTTGTCCAAATCTTTGATTTGTGCCACCGTGAGTACCAAACTTTTAAAAAATATGCAGCTCAAGTCCAAAATGGCAGTTTCCGACGGTTTGACCCCAAAATCCGTTAGTTGACCCCGGAAATTAAAAATCTGATTATTTTTTCCAAATACAGCAAGGGCAATTTGGACATATCACATTTTCCCTATTAAATTAAAAATTAAAAAATGAAAGAGAAAACCATAACCCCCACCCCATCTCCTTCTTCCCTAATTGGATGATTACCCATGACCTTTACCAGTAGAATAATGGCACAATTGGATGATTACCCATGATCTTTCCATCACCAATTGAAGTTTGGATAGTCGAATTGAACAATTGGAGCAACATAGAAACATCAAATTCCCTAGAA